TCTGCGGCTTTCAAATGTAAGACAGTGTACAATATATAAGCTTCACACTGCGTGAGTTAGTGTGTGGGTGGACTTTAATTAAGAGATAATATTATATACTTAGCTTATTATCCTAGCCACACTGAGAGATAAGGTAAATTGTTTAACTTTTTGAACATCGCAATTTTTTCAACAAAAATTTTGCTGCCAAAACTTGATGAATTTTGGTGTGTTTTTTTTGTAATTTTTTTGTAAATTTTTGACACAGTTTACAGTTGGTTATCTGTTTTGATCAACATTTTAAAAGAAAGAAAAAAAAAAGTGAAGTCATGGAAATAATTATTTTAGTATTAAAATAATATTTGACCAAACCTCAAAAGTTTAACTGTTTACATACAAAACTTTGTACATGTTTTGAGACAAACAGACCTGCGATCATGTCATAGAGTTGTGAGGAAATATATTCACTTGATTTGTTACAATACCTTGTGAATAAATGCATTCAGTTGTAAGTGGTATATTTCAAATGTGTTAAATATTAATAAATTTCTGTCACATAATTTAATCCTTAGCTTACACTTGTATTATTAAAACCAAGTGATTTGTGACAGCGTTGTTTTGACTGTGTGTTCCAAAACATGTACCATATTTACTCTGTTAGTAGCTCTGTAACAAAAATAAATCACATTTATGACACAAAACCAATGTACAGTATACATGTATAATTTTATTTATTCTTTGAACACGGAGGGCATTGTGGACAAGATAAAACAGGATTAAAGTAACATGCTCTACAGTGAACCCCCAGAAAGCGTGAGACCGAGTTATACTATAAAATTAGAAAATAACTGAATACTAAATTATGCAACTAATTAAATGTTAATTGCGGGTTAGCCGTAGACACAGGGAAGGCTGCAGGTAGTTGGACAGCGAGGGTTGCATGAAGATACACGGTGGGGATTGTGACTGCTCAACTTGGGTGTTGCTGCAGTGAGGTGTTAGGCAGCAAAGACTGCATGAAGTTGTTAAATATAGACACAGCAGGGGGTTGAAACTACTTATGTTACTGCATGGTATGCATGTAGAGGATATTACTTGTACCGGTCAAAATAAGTTGAAATAATTTAGTATGCAAAAGACGTATTTGTATGTCTGATCCAACAATATTGCCGGAAACACGCAAGATTACAGTGAACATGCTAAAAAAATGTATGCTTTGGAATAATCAATAGTCCTCTTCAATTTTTGGTTCAAAACTGCATCTAATTTGCATACTAGTGAACAAGTTTCAGCTTGAAAGAACCAATACCATATTTACTCCACTAGGAGTGTGTTTCCAATATAAACGCACTTTATAAACTAAAAATTGCATTTATTGTATATTTGGTCATCAAAATAGAGTAAAATACTTTATTTTCACTTATAATTCGCTGAAGGGGGTGATTCAGTGAAAAAAAAAATCAAGCAAGTATAATTTTTTTTACATATTTTACAATCAACTCATCAAATATTAGTAAAAATAAGCTCAATAAAAAATACCGCATAAACCTTTCAAAGAAAATTAATTTCAGCTAAAATAATCGAAAGTATATGGGCTCCCAAGATCAAAAGCGCATGTCTTCCAAGAAAGCAAATACAATACCTGAAAATACAGTAGACACAGAATTGTTGTTTGAAATTGGCTGGCTGGAAGCCATTTTGTATGTCAGAATACTTACTGCAAAATACTTTTCGCTTGGAATTAATTTTTGCTATTTTCATTGAAGCAATGATTCAGTAAAAATAAAATCCAGCGAATATACTTTTTTTTTTGTATATTACACATTCAACTCGTCAACAATCAGTGAAAATAAGATCCATACAAAACACCCAAAAAGTCTTTTCAGCAAAAAATAATTATAGCTGAAATAAAGTATTTCACAGTACTTATTTAATCATTTTTGCCCATCACTAAGTTTAATCAAACTTGGGACAGATGTACTGTAACATTTCCCAGAGATGCAATTTGATTGTTTTCACCATCTTCTCAATTCTTGACTCTGTTCAATTAGGTACTACTTGTACATCACATGTGTTCTCGCACATCAGTGAAATAAAAAATGGATGACTGGCAGCCATTTTCTTTTACATTTTGCTAACAACATGTGAACACATCTCCTGTGGAGGCTCCACAGACATACTAAATTTGATGAGAAAAAAAAAAGGAGAATTGTAGGCAATGTGTTCAGCTGTCTTAACAGTATAGAACTGAAACAAAAACTAATGTTGACTATTCATTTGTCACATAAGTACATGAATAGAGGAACCTTGGCATTCCCAATGACTCAATGAACCGCAAGATTTAAAAGTAGAAAGAGAGGCATTGTGCACATAAAATATTTCTCACAATGCAACTGTTCTGTACTAGTATTATTAGTCCGAAAACGGGGACTTATAATTCGGTCTCCGTCCGTGCATCTGTGCGTCTGCGTCCGTGTGTCCGTCCGGAGTCATATCTCAGAATCCCTTGGACCAATTCTTTTCATTCTTTGCATGTGCCTAATACTTTATGTGGGACATATGCACATGCAGTGGTTTAGCGATTTGATTCAAAATGGCCGACTGGCAACCATCTTGTTTTTTGAAAATGTTGTATTTTGGACATGCTTTATCAGTTTTCATTCAAACTTGGTACATAGATTATGCATGTTAGGATACATGTTCATGACGATTTATTTCACAATTGGATCAAAGATGGCTGACTGGCAGCCGTCTTGTTTTTTGAAAATGTTTTATTTTGGACATGCTTTGTCAGTTTACATTCAAATTTAGTACATAGATCATACATGTTAAGATACATGTCCCCGACCCTCCGTGAGTTCCTGAGTCTGTCCGTCTGTCTGTTCGTCCGTGCGTCAGTCTGTCCAGAGTCATATTTCAGAATCCTGTGGACCGATTCCGTTCATTCTTTGCATGTGCCTAGTACCTTATGTGGGACATATGCACATGCAGTGGTTTAGCAATTAGATTCAAAATAGCCGACTGGCAGCCATCTTGTTTTTTAGCTCCGCTGTCGACTTTGTCGAGCGGAGCTTATCATATGAGTGATTGTCCGTCGTCGTCCGTCGTCGTCGTCGTCGTCGTCCGTCGTCCGTGTCAATGTTTTACTTTTTCGACTTCTTCTTGAAAACTACAAGCCTGAATGCTTTGATACTTGGTGTATATGTACCTTGGGTAGACCTCTCTCAGATTTGTTCATTTCATGATGATATCTTCAATTCTCTAATTTTGGTGAATATTTTTGTCATTTTTAGTAAAAAGTGATATTTTCGACTTCTTGTTGAAAACCACAAGTGCAATTGCTTTGATATTACATATATAGGTACTACTTGTGGACCTCTCTCAGATTTGTTCATTTTGTAATGATATCTTTAATTCTCTAATTTTGGTGAATATTTTTGTCATTTTTGG